CAGTCATTATTTGTTTTTTTCTTTCTGTTGTCCCCAGTGTCAAGAAAAGGGGAACCAATGAAATGCTTGGAATACCTAACTATAGCTAGGAAGTTTGTTTTCATGGTCAGCAGAGAGAGGTGGATGGCAGCTAAAACAGTGAACACTGACAGATCCGGTGAATGATCCCATAAAAGGATTTTGCTACCCTGAGCTTTCTCAAATGACTGTAAAAGAAGCTTAGGAAGATTAATTTCCTTTGACCAAAACTGGTCTGCATTAATAGTCACGAATTGGTGTCTGGTGTTGTATTCTTGAGAACATAGTTTCTTTTAAGATTTTGTCACTTTCTGCATATTCTGTACTAGTGCTTATGTTAGACTGTGCACTTGCCTTCTTTAAGCTTTGGCATGATTTGCAATTTTCTGTCAGGCTGATTCTTCAACCAGTGGACTTAGACTAAATTCATGATTTGTTCTTTTTGCAGCTGTAAAATATGAGACTGAGACAAGGTATGCAAAATCTGTGCTTATGAAATGTAGGGTTTATTTTCCCTCTTAATCTAGAAGGAAAACTTTAAAAAGATCTTGGATTTCTGCCAAATGCAATTTTTTCCAGTGTTCTTTGTGGAATATAATTTATTTGTGACAGTCAGTAGTAAAGTGCAGAGTTTCATTGCTTTGCCAATGTGAACAGAGAAACTGATTACTTGGAAAATAGGAGTTGTAACATTGACATTAGCACAAAAAGCCTGAGCTGAGTTTGTCTGGCAAATGAACTGAACATAAATAATTATTTTTAAAAATGTTTTCAGTTAAACTTCAAAAGGATATCTACTCTCTGGGTCCTTGTAATAAAGGAAGTTAGAGATACTGAAAAATATGTAAAATATGAGCAAAAACATGACATTTGTATTACTGGTACTTCCAGTATCAGTAATGAGTTGGTACTTCTAGTACTAGCTATGAGTTGACTGAAATAAAATGCAGGAAGCTCGGGAGGTTGTGCAGGAAATAAGGGGGAATATATATATATATATTATATATATATATATATATACTGGTGATGTTTTACAAACAAACAGTTGTTGTTCTGAAAATATGTGTTTGGTTTCACTTATTGATGCAGCCTTCCCCTAGCAAAACAATACAAAATTTTAATTCTTAGCTTCAGATTTTCTACCTGATCAGCTCAGAGACAGATGATGTGGAGTTTTTGCCTTTCCCGAGTAAAAGAACCGAGATTTTCCTTTAAAAATAAAGGAAATGCTCCCACCCTGATTGTGGTATTGTTACAATTTAACTACTGTTGATAACCATCAATAAAAGGGGCCCAAACAATATATTTTTTCCTTTGTTATGGATTTGTTAAAGGTTGCAAATAGAAATAAAGGTAATAAGAAAAAGTATGAATTCATAATATTTAGTATTCACTAATTCCATTTAATAAGGACACAATAAACTATTTTTTTTCTGTTTGAGGATAATGTAAGTAAGAATTCACATCTTCAGTTCACATAGCCTATGTACTTTTCTCTATTTTTTAAAAGAAATATTTATACAAAGCCAAAAACCCCAAAAAAAGCTATTTAGGAAAGCAGTGTATGGGCAAAAAAAATGCTGGGAAAAAAAAAAAAAAAGAAAAACCGAAATGGCACAAACCAAAGCAAAAATACTCCTAGCTTCTATGATGATGTACAAATTCAAGCAGTCTGTTTCATTATATGTTCTCCTGTGGGGAGAAAGGTAGGAACAGTATTCCTAGAGCTGTTAATGAAGAAATGCTGGAAAATGGTCATAAATTCTCTCATATGCAAGTTGTTAGCATATGAAAGTGGGTTATAAACCCCAAGGAAATAATTGCTGATTCAAAACCAAAAATCACTTTTATTTTCTGTTTTATAAACAGTAATAGAGCAAAGCCAAGATTCGCTATCAAATTGAAGTCTTTATTATTTTGCTCATTATTTGTAACATATATCATGATTTGTAAATTGTCAAGTTCTTCAGGAGAACAGAATTGCAGTGGAATCATTGTTAAGGTAATTGTTCAATTCTATCTTTTCATGTATGGCAAAAATAATTAGAGTTTCTCAGTGTAATTTTAGAAGTACCTTGCCATTTCTATGCGAACAGTAGAACAAAAACTGAGCTTGTAGCATTTTTTTTACTGTCATCAAATATATTTTCCAAAATATAAAAAACACCTGTTGCTGTTGATTTTTGAAGGCTCTGTTTCAAAGATGTTTGTCAGATAGTATAGATACAAAGATGTATGTCAGTATAGGTACAAGGTTTTTTTAAATTACTCAGCTTGTGAGTCAGTCAATAAAACACTAAATGCTTGTCAACATGCAGTGTCAAGTACCTCTGTTTGTACTTCACAATCCCTTTTCAAATGCTGCTTACAACATTAAGTTCACTTTGGATTGAGTGGTTTGCTTTAATTAACAAAGCAAACATTGAACTCAGCATAACAAAAAGCTGGGGGCATTTATTTTGCAGTTTAAAAAAAACCCAAACCAAACAACCAGACAGAACATACCACTACCAACAAAACATATTGTCCATAAAATTCTGACTCTCTGAGTGTCATCATGTGTGAATTCTATTGAAACACTAATATACAATAACCACAGGAGTGTTTCATCCATGGTTTCTGTAGAAAAGAAGGGAGAAACCATTTACAGGCTCACATTCACTTAGAAAATAGTGATGGTACCTCAAGATATCATATGCCACAATGAATCAGTTAAAGAGCTGAAACAGGTGGTGGGTATGCTTCAAAACAATATCTAATAATTTAGCGTAAGGAATGTTAAATTAAACTAGTCTCCAGACTGCATTGTAGCAGCTGAATTTTTATGCACTCCATCCTATGCCCTATTTTGTTCACAAATATCTTTGGCAGAGATTAGGCAAAAAATTCCAAATGGTAATAACAAAACCCATTTTCCAGATAAAATGTAAATACCCGTAGTGTGGCTCTTTGAATAGCTGTCCTTTCATCTTCCACTAATAATGCTGTTGAAGAAGAATGCTTTGAAAATGTGTGTTCAGCTAGCAAGGGGGGAAAAGTAAATTGATCTTCTGCTTCATATATTTTAGAAAGAGATTAAGATCAAAACATCCAATAAGGAAGTTTTTTGGAGTTTGTCAGGTGGGTTATTCTGAAGGGAAATTACATTGGTTTGCATCATCACTTAAAAATGATGTCTTAAAGAGAGTGCCTTTTTTGATCTTTGCAGTGGTAACATGTAATGGTATATTGAAGATTTGGAAGAAATATTTTCTGTGTAATCAAAGTGCTAATATAGAAACCTGTAGTAATCTTGAGGAAGTCAAGTTATTGATAATATTACCAGGTAGGTTTATTTTTGCACGTGTTGTTTTCTTCTCCCAAGGAACAACTAGCAGAACCGTTGGAAGCACAGAATTATGCAGTGTGAAATTTAGCTGCCCACACATCTTTGGTGAAGAAATACAGAGAGACACATGTTTTTTGAATAATATTTTGAGTGTATTTAAAGAAAGAAAACTGAGAAATTAAAAGGAATTTCATAGAGATTTCAGTTGTGTTCTCTGAGCAAGAATAAAAACTGGATATTGTGAACTGAAAAAAATAAATCCCAATAAGTTGAAAAAGTTGTAGGTGAGATCATGGAAGAATGCAAGAATAGTCATAATGAACCAGAGGTTAATGTAGCCCAGTATTTCTCATTTTTAAGATCCAAAGGACAGAATGTAAGAATAAGCAGCACATAGTAAGTTCTTTTCCTGTGCAATTTACAGTGACTGAGGTATTGTAGCTGAAGTTTTTTGGTTTTGCAAACTTTTGATAGTCTTCATGGATTTGAGGACTTTATGGAGAAGGTTACAAAGTTTGTGAAGAAAAAAATAAGGAAGAACTGGTTGGGGATATGAAGGTGAGGACAACCTTGGCTACAGTGACCATGAGATGGCTGAGTCAAGGAGCATAAGAGGAGGCAGCAGGGCAAAAAGCAATACAACCAAGGACTTGAGGAAAGGAGACTTCAATCTGTTCAAGGATGTGCTTGGAAGAATTGCACAGGAGATCATGCTGAAAACAAAAGGGGTCTAAGATGGTTGATTTTCAAGGATGACCTCCACTACGCTCAAGAACAGGCTTTCACAATGAACAGTAAATCAAAAACAGCCAGAAGTCTGTATAAATGAACAAGGAGCTCTTGACATAATTCAAATAAAAAAGAAAAAGGTGTAAGGAATGACAGGTGACCCAGGAAGAACCTGGAGACTCTATTTAAATATGCAGATAAGGAAAGATGAAGCTATTCCAGAATTAGATCTGGTCAGAGATACGAAGGTCTACAGAGTTTGAGGGCTATATCAGCAGCAGAAGAAAGGGGAAAACATGGACCTTTTGCTGAGCTGGCATGGGACCCAGTGTCAATAGAAGTAGAAGATGATGATGGACTAAAAACCTTTTTTGCCTTTTGCCTTGATCACAAACATTTGCTTTCAGGAATCCCAGATCCCTGAAATCAGTTTCCAGCAGTAGTGCTTCTGTAATCTATCAGTGAATCTAAGTTTAAGAATTGAAGAAAAACAAGGAATTTTTTTTTTTTTTTGTGATGTCTGCTCATTACAAAGGATGGCAGCACTTTCCACTGGATGTCATTTAACTTTTTAATTTTTGCATAGGTTTAGTTTTTCTCTCTGGTCGGATGCAATTCTCAACAGCTTTTCTTCTGCAAATAACTGTCACAGCTAAGCAAACATATTGCTTCTGCCGAGTTTAGTTGTTAAAATAAAAGTTGTATTTTCTTTTACAGTCACACTATATGTAGCAAAATTAAACAACTCCACCATTCACAAGTATAATATTTGAATTTCAGATTACTGTCAGATATGCTGGTTTAATATTTGTGATGTGTGATGTCTGATATTTGCATCGCAGCTTTGTTGCTGAGATGATGAGCGTAATTACTGTAGAGATGTGGGTTTAATTATGATAACCTTGTTTTTAATCTTTCCTGGTAGGATTTTGGAGATGATGGGTCCTTGTACATCACTAAGGTTACCACAACTCATATGGGAAATTACACCTGCTATGCTGATGGGTACGATAAGCTCTATCAAACTCATATTCTCCAAGTGACTGGTAAGGAAAAATGTTCTAATTATCAAGTCATAAGAAACCTGAATTTTGTCAAGCAGATCTGTGGTTTTTTTCCTACTTTTTTTGTTTTGTGTTACATCTTAATAGAAAAAGGTATATAATTTTTTCTTCACTTATCTCCTTCAAACAACCTTAAAAACAATGAAACACAATAATTTTAATTTATTGCTTCCATAGAACAATAACTATTAAAAAGTGTAAAGATAGTCCAGAGGACTTGCTTTGCACCTGTGATGTTATGCAGAACAGTGAGTGGTTTATATATACATATGCACACAGATAAAGTAGGTTTTAGTATTAATTTAGTAACCTGGGGAACACGGTGAGAAAAATAAATGTGTAAATTTCTTGTGTTAAGAATGTTTTGTTGAATATAAGATTAATAGAATGCACTTCCCTGAAGATTTTGTAATTGATGTAGGCTTCTAAATTCACATTTATGTTATTGAAATCTACCCATGATTTTAGTAGATTAGCTTCAGGCACCTAGATTTGAAACTTGATCTTTGCATTTTCCTACATCTGTTCAAGTTCCAGAATTCAACACTTTTTCAACATTGAATTCTGTACTTGGACAAAACAAAACTGCTTTGTTACTGGTCCTCTGAAGACAGGCCTTTACCTTCCCTTGAGCTGGTGTATCCTCTCCATGTGCTTATATGCAATTTATTTCCTAAAGTATTTTAAGGAATTCTTGCCACTGATGAAGGGTCTGATTTATCATCATTGAGGTTTAATGTCTTTTTTTTTTTTTTAGAGTGCTTTCATGTAATTTCAATTCGTATTTATCTTTGACTCTTAAGACTCCCTTTTTGCTGTAAACTACCAGTGTTTGTCATTCCATGTTGTTGTTTAATCCTATCCAGAATCATGTTTGACCTCAATCTTCTCCAAATTTACTTTGCATTAAGAGGCTCTATTTCTCTCCTGAGGCATACTCTAGCCCTAGTTTCCTGGCCACTGCTGTTACCATCATTCTTTGTTTTGTTAGCTATTAATCAGTTGCATAAACCCTTATTCAGCTGACTTTTTTTAACATCCGAGAATGCTGAAATGTTTTCTTTTATTCTTATCTTTCATGTATGTACATATGAAATACAGATCCTCAGATTATTTTGGCTTCAATAGGATTTTTCTTCTTTTAATAGCCTTTCCCCCCCTTATCTGTTCTTAATATCTTCACATTTTAAATTCATTTGACATTTAGTGCTTGTTTGCAGTTTTGTAAACATTTTGTCTCTGCTGTTATGTTACTTCAGAAAGCTGGCTTGTGATATTTCTCTATCCATATATTTCAACTTTTTTTCCCCAGTTTCTTCCCCTCCTGAACCGCAACATATTGTACTTAGAGTGTTGTCCCCAAGCTAAATGGGGACATGGCATCAACATATTTTCCTCCAAATTTTTCTTCTGGGATTATTTTTTGTCTTTTAAAAAGCCAGGTAGCAACTACTGGCTAAACTAGTGAGAAGACTGATGTGCAATTTATTAATATTTTAATTCCTGAAGACATAGCAGAGTTATTGACAAGCTGAACACATTAGTGGGTTCTTGACCAACATTCTCCTCTGTTTTATGGGTTTGGTTTACCCTAAATTATTAACAAAATTATATTCCTATCAACACATTCCTGACCAACCCCAATGTGTAAATAATCCCCCAGAGGTGTAAGGCAAGAGTTAAAATACTAGAATTCATGTTTGACTCAGTTCAGCGCATAGTGAGGCAAAACTCCGCTCAAGTTGAAGAAGGTTTTCTGCAAGACTAGAAAATCAAGAAAGATAATTTGAGAGAAGTGAAGGAAGACAAATGTAGGTTTTTCTGGTGATAATGTGTCTGTCAGGAAATTGGTTTTTCATCTGGAAACCACTGTAAACCTCAGATAGCTGCTATTCCAAAAGCTGGCACTGGAGTGGTACCTTCCTAAATGATTTTGGATGTTGATATTTTGGGGAGCAAGAAACAGGTAAAAGAGACCTTTTGATCAGTAGGATTATTTGCTGTGCATGTTGTGGTTAAATTGAGTTAAATCCACTGAGAGTAAAGGTCAAATGAACAGCTCTTCCACAGTTTAGATCTGTACTTCTAAGGAATAATCTTCTTAAGCACAGGCATGATGGTCAGTACTTGTAGCTGTGATAATGACTAATTAATATAATGATACTTGTATTAACTAGAGAGCCAGTCAAAAGGTTAATGGGATAATGAGACTCCGTTGATCACAAAGATTTAATGTGAAGGTTGAATGAAAACAATGTAATTAGATTTTAAGTTCTTTCTTGGTTTCCATTTATGTACAGCTATATATTTTTAGGAAAAAAATCATATATTTTAGGCTAGTATGTAATTATTATAGATGTAAATTTGATTTACTTTTAAGATTAAAATCTAAGATATTTTTAGTTTTGAATTATCTGGCACAGTAGTAAAGAATAATGAGCTTCCTTTGGAGTCTTAAAATTACATTAATGAGCACTGTAAAAGACTTGTTTTATGATGAAATAATCAGTCTACTCTTATACAAATAATATGGTAAATTAAATATTGTGAGCAACCCTATAAGCTGACATTTTAAGCCTTTTCATATAAACTAAAAAAAAAAAAAAAAAAACAAAAAACCAAAACATAAAAAATTGTGATCAGGAAGAAGTAATTCTTTCATGACACAGTCTTAATTATTAGTATTTACATAATGCTTAAAACTTTCCACATATACACTTTTGAGATTGTATGACTCTGACGCTGTATGACTAAATGAATTTCAGTCTGTCAGTTTGGTCTTTATTTTTCTTCTAATATGTCAGTGATACTTAAATAAGATCAGCAATTCTGATACTTTAAGGTACAGAAAGGAGAGCCCAGTCCCTCAGCCAGATGTAAATAGGGAATATGTAGTGTCTGAAGAATTGTTTGCCAGCTTTGTTTTTCCAAAGTATCTAAGTTTAAACAAGAGTTATTACATATATATATATATATATATATATATATATATATATATCAGTAGAAGTACCTAATTCACTATAGCTATCCCCTGTTTCTTTTTTAAACACATGCATTCTCCTGGATTCAAGACAGCTTGACCAGACTGTTTTTTCACTTCCCTCCCCCATGAGACCCAACTGAAATAATGCTCAAGAGGTTTCATAGCAAGTGCTAGAGCTATTCAATAGTAACATATCCACCATATTTGGAACCAACAGTCTCACATTGCTTTTTGAATTGAAAGATAAGGGATATAGAATTCACTCAATTATGTGTTATACTTTATTTTACTAAATACATACATGCGGTGTCTCCCCTCCCTCTTTAAGATGTGTCATGATCTCTTCCTTTGTAAGTGAGCTTTTTTAGCTTAATATGTTAAAACATATCTCTTTGAAAGTCAGTGTGAACAGTCACATTAATTATGTATTTAAAATTTTATTTCTGGTTTTATATATATATATATATATATAAAATCATTTATGTATTTATTTATTAGTTTTTGGTTGGTCACACCAAAAAACCCAAACAAAAACCAATAAAGCAAAACAGACAAACAAAACCCTGATTCAAACAAACCCCAAAGACTTTACATTGAACTTGTCATATCAAATTAACTTCTTAGACTGAGCACACAACTGCACTTACATTTCAGTTGTCTGCAGCATGCCTCAGTGGGATGGTTCTTTCTTAGTGGAATATTACAAATATTCTTCAAGGTAATACGAAATAAAAATTATAATGCAAAACAAAGAAATGATGAAAAACATTTCAAGTTGTATAGTTAACCTATTAGACACAGAGTTACTGAGGGAAGAGGAAAATGGCAGCAAATAGAGGAAAGACCTGGCAAGAAATAAACCCTACTGTCATTCAAGAACCTCTGTTCCTGGAAAAACAGTGCTAAAGGGAACAGAAATAGAAATAAGGGATGGTAACAGAAAATTCAGACATATTTCACCTGAGCATATTTTCACCTCTCCTCCCTTTCACATCTCCTAACAACCCTTAAGTAGTCAATTTAGCATTTTGTCAAGCAGGGTGAGATTTTATTTGTTGGTTTAGAAAGAATTGGATTTCAGTTACGATATTTTCTAAAACTTTTTTTAGCAATAATATTGCATCAGAAATATTGCATGCTTTTGCCCAAATAAAAGTAATACATTCCTCTTTCTTGTCCATAAAAATTTTTTAAAATTGAACTGTTAAAAAAAAAATTCTCTTCACATGTGCTCAGTAGAAGTCTGTCAAGGTGAGATAGTTAAATACCCATAAGGTTTTATATGCAATTAGAATATTTCACTGACACAGAAAGAGACAAGAAGTATCCTGGCATATCTGGTCAGAACATAACTAATTGCAATGCCTTGCTATTGGTCCTAAAAGTTGTTTCTGTTGCTGAGATTCTTATGAGTGTTCAGTGATGGCAGTCCAGTCTCCAAGGAAGTGGAGGTCCTTGCTTTTCCAGAGACAAGGTGAAGAAAAGCCATTTGGCTTTGCTGCAGTGGGAAATCTACAACATGAGGTTGGCTACCTAAAGGACCTTGTGTCAAGAAATGCTGAACAGGCAGACATGAAAATTGGACTTTAGGAAGTGTGGCAGAGCAAGACTGGGAGCTGAGGTGCCAAAAAATATTCAAGCCACCGCATGTGGAGTCAAGCAGGGCCTGTTCTGAAGAACACAGTGGGGAAGGCAAGGTCTCAGTATGGAGAACACAGATGCTATGCAACAGGAGATAGAAGAGGGAAGAAATGGAGGGAAAATAGGAGTGGAAATGTCAGGCTTGAGGTGAAAAGTTAAGATCCACTTCCATGAAAGCGAAGTCCTTTCCAGAAAATCAATAGAAACCTTAAATCTCTGATATTTATGTGCTCTTCCTCTCAGCTGGTAGTCTAAGAAACTAAAAGCCATATTATCTAATTTTTAACCTTCTCCCATGTTATTAAATTACATTTTTTTGCAATTTGCATGTAGGGGTTATGTAGAAAAGACTGTCCTCTCTAACTGGGTTTAAAATATCCCTGAAACCTACTGATTTTTGCATCCTATCTGAGATAAGGTAGATTTGTGTATTTCTTGCAATGTAGAAATGTAAGGCATTTCTATGATCTAATGGGACAGCATGCTGAGACATCTCTTGTAAATAGTTGAATAGGATTTGAAAATATTTAATCTCATGCCAAAATAGACACAGTTAATTTTTGATCTTGTTATCTTCTTTCATTATCAGCTGATAGTTCATCCTCTACCCAGCTGTGTTTTGTAACAACCTAAGTATTCCATACTTTTAGAGCTGCATTAAACAAAACTTGGGCGAATAGGAAATACACTTCCTTAATCTTATTACAGTTAATATTTTTTTATTGTTAGAAACAACCTCAAGCAAGTTGTCTCTGTAAAAAATTAAAGATAAGGTAAATAGTTATTAATCTAAAAAATCTACATAGCAGGATTTTTAAATCTTGTTTTACCATTGATTACTAATAGGAGTATGTCCTATCATACATCTTCTCTCTGACACTACTGGTGTATGTAGAAGATTTTTAATTGGTAAGCTTATACTGCAGCAAGTTTTCAAACCTTGGAAAATGATGTCAACAATTCTTATATTTTGTTAAAAAAGAAACTCATAAGACTGGTCTTATACATAGGATCACAGAATCTGCTGAGTTGGAAGGGACCCATGAGGATCATTGAGTCCGACTCCTGGCCCTACACAGGACAGCCCAAGTCGCACCATGAGCCTGAGAGCATTGTCCAAACACTTAATGAACTCTGTCAGGGTGGTGCTGCGGCCACTTCCCTAGGAGCCTGTTCCAGTGCCCAGCCACCCTCTCTCTGGGTGAAGAACTTTTCCCTGAAATCCAGCTTAAAACCTTCCCTGACACAGTTTCATGCCACTCACTCAGGCTCCGTCACTGGTCACCACAAAGAGATCAGTGCCTGCCCCTCCTCTTCCCTTCACAAGGAAGCTGTAGCTGCAATGAGTTCTCCCCTCACTCTCCTCCAGGCTGAACAGACCAAGTGTCCTCAGCCGCTCCTCAAATGGCTTCACCTCAAAACCTTTCACCATCCTTGTGGCCCTGCTTTGGACATTCTCTAACAGCTCAATGTCATTTGTATGTCATGGTGCCCAAAACTGCGCACAGGACTCGAGGTGAGACCACCCCAGAGCAGAGGAGAGCAGGACAGTGTCCTCCCTTGCCCAGCTGGAGATGCTGTACCTGATGCCTCCCAGGACACCCCAGGTTGGACCTCCAGGGCACTGCTGACTCATGTTCAACTTGCCATCAACCAGGACCCCCCCATGTCCCTTTCCAGCACCTTAGTCCCCAGTTTGTACAATCAACTATCGTTGTCCTGTCCCAGGTGCAGAATCTGGCACTTTCCCTTGTTAAACTTCATACAGTTGGTGGTATTACATCTCTCTAATTTGTGGAGCTGTCTCTGCAGGACCTCTCTGTCCTTGAGGGAGTTAACAGCTTCTCCCAATTTGGTGTTGTCAGCAAAGTTACTTAGTATTCCTTCAAGTCCTGCGCTGTGTCCAAGTCTTTAATGAAGATGTTGAAGAGAACTGGGCTGAGGATTGAGCCCCGTGGAACCCCGCTAATGACTGGATCCCAGCCAGATGTTACCCCATTCACTGTAACTCTTTGTCCCTGACCCATGAGCTGCTTGTTCACCCATCACGTGACACAGTTATCCAGCTGTGTGGACATTTTGTCCAGAAGGATGCATGTCTTGTTTAACGTCTTAATTAATGATCCAAATAATGGGGCAGAGTTTTACCTTCAACAGTTTTGTAGATGGCACCACACTGGGAGGAGTGGCTGATAGACTACAGGGTCATGCTGCTATTCGTTTGACAGGATGGAGAAATGAACCAGCAGGAATTTAGGAAGTTCAACAAGAAGTGCAAGAGTCCTGCACCCAGGGAGAAACAACCCTGGTGTGCCAATATATCCTGAAGACCACCTAGTGGAAAGCATCTTGGCAGGAAAGGACTTCAGAGGGAAATCAGGTTGAACATAAGCTAGTGATGTGTCCATATGGTAAAGAAGGAAAGTGGTATCATGGGTACAGAAGGTCCCATGAACAGGTGTCAAGAATTATAAACCTGAACAGGTTTGATGCATGTAGAAGGAATTGTTACTAGGTGTTTTGGAAAGAGCGGAAAGGTGGAAATGAAATGTTAAGATTTGTTAAACAGGACAATTAAAATCTCTGTACAACATATCGTGACTCACTAATAGTACATTAGTCATATTTTGTTAAGAATACTAAGGAAAAATAAAAATCTTATTACTCAACCACCAACTATTGAAGAATTGAGGCTTTCTTCTTTGATACCACAGTGAAAAGAGGTTTTTCTCACAGAATATTTTTTCTGCTTCATAAATATTCTGAGACAGAATTCTGCATTGAATGTCACTGAATATCTGACGAATACCACGTCTGTGTGTAGTTATATATAGCTGCAGGGGTCTTCTGAATTGCTTATAGTTATTTTTCTTAAAATGAAAATAATGTTCTCCACTAAATTATAATTGTTTTTTTTTATTCAGTTCCACCAGTTATCCGAGTCTATCCAGAGAGCCAGGCAAGGGAGCCAGGTGTGACAGCTAGCCTTCGGTGCCACGCTGAAGGTATTCCCAACCCACAACTTGGTTGGCTGAAGAATGGAATTGATATCACTCCAAAGCTGTCCAAACAGTTAACTCTTCAAGGTAAAGGGGTGCATTTATTGTTTTCTACATCTTGCTAATGTTTTATCCATGCATAATTTCCATACTAACTGCCCTTCTTCCATAGTTTTAACAAAGGCTTGAAGTCTAAGCTAAAACATTTCAAAAGATGTGATTTCTTCCAGCTACTCCCCAAGACACATCTTTTTGCTTTCTCTTTGTTAGAATAACGATTTTACTTACTGGCAGGATTACCAGTAAATTCCAATACGCTCTTCTCGATTTGAAAATGTGCTGTATCTGAGTGGAGCAGGCAGTGCAAGACCTGGTCCCAGTCAGAACTGGAAAGAATCTTAGTGAGATTTGGGGACCTGATAGTAGAAAGGACTGGAGGAGAAATACCTGAAATGGATGTGCTGTTTCTGAAGGGTATCAGCAGACCTCTGTGGGAGTGCAGAGACATTGCATACACACAAACAAGCCCTACCTCCCCTCCCAAAAAACCCAAACATCTCAAACCAAAAAAGAAGCCCCACACACACAAAACAAAAAACAAAAAATACACACACACACACAAAAAAACCCTCCAGCGGGAACTAAAGGAAAGTCTTACCTTTAGCACCAGTTCATTTCTATTAATCTTCAGGGCTCAGCAAAATCAGTGGACATGTTCAGCATAAAATCTCCGTGCTTCAGTCTTTCTGGTAATTTTTGATACCTGTAGGAGAAAAAAAATCTCCTGCTGCTCGTGTTCCCTTCAAAACTTTCTCTCACTCATCAACAAAACCAGGATGTGTAGTTAAGATAGGACAGCACTCAGCCTGCTGTGTAAGAAGCAGTGGAACAGATATGGCAAGTGCTTCTCTGAAGTGTTACTTCCCCTGCAGGTGTCATAGTCCCCTGTTCTTTCATGTACAACTCTCCTGGATATTTGTGAACAATTGCCTTGCAGAAACATGTTTCACTATGAGTAGAAAGTTATTAACTTTTCTTCCATTGCAACATTCTCTTAATTTCTCCTGTAGGGATTTGGGGAATTTTTTTCACCTTTCTCTCTGTTCCATATATTTATGACAAATAAATTAAAAGGATTCTTCTGTAAGCAAAATACATTGAATTACATTTTCTAGCATTATATTATTTGAAAAAAAAAATTTGAAAATCTCGTTACATTTTCCCAGAGATTTTTCTGAGTTGAACTATCTGTGCACTTGTTCAAGCTAGAAGGGTGCTGCACCCTAAGACAATGCCCCTTTTAGTCCATACTTTAGAATACCTACAAAGCTGTTTTTTGTATAGTTCCTTCAGCTGAACAAGTATACTATACTTAAAATCCAATAAATCATTGTTCACACAATTATTTGCATCACATTATTTAAAAGACCTTTGCCAGTGTCACCTGGATTTTTTGTTGACATTCCTATGCAATGTGACATAAAATTCCGGAGGTTTCCCTAAGCTTCTACATTGATGTAGGTGAAAAACTTCTATGCACCTGTTTTCTCTGTTGTTACATTGCAGTCACACAAAACCAAAACTAGGTGCCTCTGGTTAGGAGCAACAAATTAAAATTTTTATTTATATTGTATGTTTGGCCTGTTATATTCCTTGGGTTATTTTGTGTAAAGGAAATGATGGTGTCTAGTAACCAAATGCAACATAACAAAAACCTAATATTTACCTGACTTTAAAAAAAAACATAGTAATTTAAATATATATAAAACCTCAGCTGGATATTTGTCTCTGAAGTACAAAATCAACTGAGGCACTCTGAATAACTGTGAGATGAAATAATGCATGTAATTCACTAGCCAGTTGAATACCTTTGGACTAATTTGGCATGCCTCCAAGTTATGAACTCAGGAATGAAAATGGTTTAATTAGTGTAAGCGGAGAAACCCTTCTGAATTTATAATCTGAAAGCACTAGCGTGTCTGCATGTTGATTTTTTCCTCTCCTTTCAGCAAATGGCAGTGAGGTTCACATTAGCAATGTGCGCTATGAAGATACAGGAGCATACACTTGCATTGCAAAGAATGAAGCAGGGGTGGATGAGGATATTTCTTCTCTCTTTGTGGAAGATTCTGCTCGAAAGACTCGTAAGTATTGTGAGAAGTATAAAAATACATGTTGCCCACACTCAAACATTTAATCAGTATTAAAACTATGAAACGTTAAATAAATTGAGTTCGTGTAGATAGCTGATTTAAAAAATAAAGTTCAATTAATGGTATCCAAGAATCACTGAAGACAGAGTGCACAAACTGCATTATATTTAGAAGTAAAATGAAATCTCTGATTCATTGTGTGAACCAACATATTTTTTACATTGCTGGTAAATTTTTGATACTTTCCTCATGAGAGATGTGTTGCATACAAAGGGAATGTGAAGGGAAAAAGGAAAGGGATGTCTGTACAGGGCAGCTATTAGTGTGTTTTCCAGTGGTTGGTGGGGTGTGGGAGGAAGTAATTTTCTTCCTGTCTGTTCTTGAGATATACCAAGAGTCAAAATCAGCCTCATGATGTGACAGTAATCATAAGGCTTGATCTCACCTGCTGAAGTGCCCAGCAGGTCCAGAGCAGTTCCAGCCTGCCCATGTTGTCTTGTGCCTGGAATGCAGAGGAACACTGAACATATTCACTTCTCTTGAATGTGCCAAAGAAATCAATATCACTACTAACAAGCAGCATTCTTTATCCTCTGTTAAATGGTAGTGGGATTTATAAAACCCAGTTTTTCTATTTGTCTTGTATTTTTTTTGTCTAACAGGTGCCCAGCAGGTCCAGAGCAGTTCCAGCCTGCCCATGTTGTCTTGTGCCTGGAATGCAGAGGAACACTGAACATATTCACTTCTCTTGAATGTGCCAAAGAAATCAATATCACTACTAACAAGCAGCATTCTTTATCCTCTGTTAAATGGTGGTGGGATTTATAAAACCCAGTTTTTCTATTTGTCTTGTATTTTTTTGTCTAACTGTTATTTCCCTCTTACCTCACTTTGCTTAGAAAAATCCATTCCTGAATTTATACTTCACCCATTTTTTGTGCCAAAGAAATCAATATCACTACTAACAAGCAGCATTCTTTATCCTCTGTTAAATGGTAGTGGGATTTATAAAACCCAGTTTTTCTATTTGTCTTGTATTTTTTTTGTCTAACAGTGTTATTTCCCTCTTACCTCACTTTGCTTAGAAAAATCCATTCCTGAATTTATACTTCACCTATTTTTTTTGTATGGTTGGTTTGGTTGGTTTTGTCTGTTTGTTTGGGTTGTTGTTTTTGTTTTTTTTTTTTTTCATCTGAGATTTGTTCTTCTGTCTCTTGCAGAAAAGAGATCTGATTAAAAATGCCTTAATTTTCCCTGAGAGTATTAATGAATACTACATACTTGTTAGTAATACATCCAGTAAATTGATAGTTATCTTACTAGTGAGTGTGATTGCATTAACTTAAGACATTCCTGTTTATTTAAAAGCATATTCAGCAGTGTCAAGTACTCAGCAGGATACCAGAGGCAGAATTAGCAGCGCTGCAAGTCTGCCTAACACAAGCCACAGGACATTGGGTTCAGTTACATAAAGGTTTACTATGCTTCAGATATTTCCAGAAGAAATCTTCCATGCAGGAAATTTTATAACCTAAATGTTGATATCTTTACTTAGCTACTTAAGACTAATTTTAACTGTAATTTTTCAAAAGCCTTAACATGGATTTTTTTAAGTGACATGAAAATTACTGCTCAAACACTTCTGGGAAGTCACCTGAGGATAAATAAGTTGTTTGATCATGCAGAGTTTCTGGTAATCTGGTAATGTGAAGTAGCTTGGCCACTTCAATTTGCCTATTGCATTGTGTGAAAAATATTATGAAAGTTGACAAATTTCAAGACCCTGACAAACTCTAGTTGGTATATGTTTGGTTAAAACTTGTTTGGCCTTAACAACAAATTATTTGTAGCAAACTTGCCAGTTTGCAAGTGTTTAGTTAAGTTAGTCAGTTTAGTTAAGTCAGTTCAGTTCCGAAGACCTGATCTGCTGTGAATATGTATTCACATATTCACACAATGCAGAATACTTTTTTCAGGACTTGAAATATGATCTAATAATTTTAGATCTGCTGCCTTAGCAGGATTTGTAAAATCACGTGCCATGCAGTAAACGCAGCTTGTGATAAATGCTTTATTACCTACTAGCAGTAAGTTGTTAGAATGACCATTGGTGTCATGAAAGATGTAAATGAAGGAAGACAGAATATAAACCAAATATTTTCTAAGACAATTCACCCAAAAGATATAGTCATTTTCCTTCCTTTAAAAATAATTTACTCTGCAAGTTCTGTGTTGTATGTTGAAGGGAAGCATTTTACCATTATGTTCCTTGGCGTTTGAACATGGTTTTCCAATAAGTGATCCATGTGTAAATAGTTGTAAAACCCAAAGATGTATAATTATAACATTCAAATTTAGGTGTAGCAGATATTTACGTATTGAACTCCAATATTGTTCAGAATCCCATTTTAGAACATGCAAGAATACTAAGGTATGTACTAATAAAAAAGTACTGACTCTCAAAATCATTGTCCCAACTACATGAACAAATTACAACAGGTACACATTTTTATAGATGCACTTTAAAAACCTACTGCTGTTTAAAAAAAAAAATCTTTGCAGGATGGAGCTGCTAGCATTGGAGAACTGCTATCAGAAGTGGAAGGGCCTCATTATTAACTCTTTTCTGCTTGTTTTTATATTTCATCCAGAACTCTTGTTCATACATTAAATTTGGGATTATTAAGGAGTAAAATCACATAGGTAAAACCACTTGGATAGGATTGTGGGCTTTTTTTTTTACCTCACCCACACATATTAAGCACAATGCTACAGCTACTTTTATTTCAAGCCTTTTGATTAGGTCACAAGTTACCTTCTAAAGATAGTCTCTGATGAATGTAAATGTGATTCTGTATGATCTGATAGAAACTATTTCTGTAATTTATGACATTTTTATAAATTATTTTGCATTTCTCCTCCTTTAAGATAATTAAGCAGACACACTTTTTAATATTTTTTGGGTTCCTTATTAGAGGTCTCCCTTTTGGAAATCTTAGGATACTGTTTTGAATAAAATAAGATCAGATTCTCACTCGCTTGTCAGTCTAGGCTTTCCTCCTTTGTGATGTCACATAAGATAAAAATCAAAGCAAAATAAAAGCATTTCTGAACATTGAATTGATTTTCTATTGAGAGTTTAGTGAGAACTTTACAGTTGAGTTCTAAAATATAAAGTACAATTGCACTGCCTTGAGCATGACAGTAATTTCAAAAGCCACATAAGAAATGCAGAACATTATCCCGTTACCAATGCATATATTGTATTTCCTAGAAAGTATAATAGTCAAAGTAAATGTTCACTTTTGTACTTATCTGACCCATTGTTTGGGTGCATGGGAAAACTTTGGGGGTTTAATGTTACTTCACACAAAAACCTAAATTTTTATTATTTTTGTGTGGAATCTTGCTTTCAGTACATCCCAAATTTATTAAAAACTCAGTTCAGGGCTTTGAGGAAAAAAAAATAGTGTCTCTGACAGAAAGGCCATGGCTAGTTGATTTCTCTGTAAATTGATAATTTAAACAGCTCCTGAGAGATAATGCTATATTTTCTGCTACCTTGGACTAAATAAAAATCAGTGTCATTATGGAAAAGTAGATTGTTAAATAATAAGCAAACCTTTACCTCACCTGTCTGAACAGATTTAAATAAAAAAAACCAAACCCAAGCCAAAAAAAAAAAAAATAAAAAAAAAAAAAAAAAACAAAAAAAAAAACAAACCACAAAACAAAAAAGAAGCCCCACACACACAAAACAAAAAACAAAAAATACACACACACACACAAAAAAACCCTCCAGCGGGAACTAAAGGAAAGTCTTACCTTTAGCACCAGTTCATTTCTATTAATCTTCAGGGCTCAGCAAAATCAGTGGACATGTTCAGCATAAAATCTCCGTGCTTCAGTCTTTCTGGTAATTTTTGATACCTGTAGGAGAAAAAAAATCTCCTGCTGCTCGTGTTCCCTTCAAAACTTTCTCTCACTCATCAACAAAACCAGGATGTGTAGTTAAGATAGGACAGCACTCAGCCTGCTGTGTAAGAAGCAGTGGAACAGATATGGCAAGTGCTTCTCTGAAGTGTTACTTCCCCTGCAGGTGTCATAGTCCCCTGTTCTTTCATGTACAACTCTCCTGGATATTTGTGAACAATTGCCTTGCAGAAACATGTTTCACTATGAGTAGAAAGTTATTAACTTTTCTTCCATTGCAACATTCTCTTAATTTCTCCTGTAGGGATTTGGGGAATTTTTTTCACCTTTCTCTCTGTTCCATATATTTATGACAAATAAATTAAAAGGATTCTTCTGTAAGCAAAATACATTGAATTACATTTTCTAGCATTATATTATTTGAAAAAAAAATTTGAAAATCTCGTTACATTTTCCCAGAGATTTTTCTGAGTTGAACTATCTGTGCACTTGTTCAAGCTAGAAGGGTGCTGCACCCTAAGACAATGCCCCTTTTAGTCCATACTTTAGAATACCTACAAAGCTGTTTTTTGTATAGTTCCTTCAGCTGAACAAGTATACTATACTTAAAATCCAATAAATCATTGTTCACACAATTATTTGCATCACATTATTTAAAAGACCTTTGCCAGTGTCACCTGGATTTTTTGTTGACATTCCTATGCAATGTGACATAAAATTCCGGAGGTTTCCCTAAGCTTCTACATTGATGTAGGTGAAAAACTTCTATGCACCTGTTTTCTCTGTTGTTACATTGCAGTCACACAAAACCAAAACTAGGTGCCTCTGGTTAGGAGCAACAAATTAAAATTTTTATTTATATTGTATGTTTGGCCTGTTATATTCCTTGGGTTATTTTGTGTAAAGGAAATGATGGTGTCTAGTAACCAAATGCAACATAACAAAAACCTAATATTTACCTGACTTTAAAAAAAAACATAGTAATTTAAATATATATAAAACCTCAGCTGGATATTTGTCTCTGAAGTACAAAATCAACTGAGGCACTCTGAATAACT